GTACAATTTCCGTTGCAGAAAAATGGAAAATGGGATTTTCTGACCAACAGTGGATTTACATGTTTCCCAAACATACCACTCATGTTCCTCAACGTAAAATTTTAAGGCTATCTTAATTTGACCAATGTCAATTAAACCACACTAGCAAGAAATCCTGTATATACTCCAAAAGTTCATATCCGGAAAGGGGCTCTTAAGAACGGAGCTGAAAATTTTACTGACAATAGAGAAATCAACGTTTTTTTTTTTTTTGTTTGTTTGTTTTTTGTTTTTTTATGATTGTAATTTTACAGCTAGTTGATGGAAAGAAAAGGATGACAACAGAATACTCAAAATCTTCCAAAACGAGAGGATACTTTTTAATGTGTTGAGATGAGAATTTTTAAACGTTCAAATATTGTTGAATAGAAAAACCTCTGTCCAATATTAACTACTATTAAGTAATTCAGTCATTTGTAAATTAGTAATCTGATCAACAGCTAATTTGAAAGAGCAAACTTGAAATGCACTAAAAACAAAGGATTAAAATGAAGCTAACTTCAGTTCAGTTGAATGGCATGATTTCAAGTGTGGTAGAAAACACAAACATCAAAGTTTAAAATAAACAATAGTATTGAAGTTAGAGTTTTTGCATGTGAATAAGATCTCAAAACAGAACAAAATTCGATTTTTCCAGTTCAAAAGTGAACTGAATGGCAGGTCAGTGAAATTCCTTATTGAAAGAACTTTATTTAAATTACCCCTATTACCATCAAACTAATTAAAAATATCGTCAATGTAGTGGAACCATACAGGAAAGTTTAACTTTTCAAATAATTTTGATTCATAATAACACATAAAGACATCACGAAGGATAGAACTAAGAGGGCTTTCCAAATTTAATCCCTCCATTTGCATGTACAGGCAAAAGTCGTTAATCCGGACTCGTCGGGACTTCGGCGATTCCGGATTATAGATCATCAGTTTAAATCTCGTAAGATGGCATGCAGAAATTCTAAAAAATATGAAACCGTAATTTTATGAAATAAAGTACAATTATGATCTAAAGGGTATCAAAATTTATAAAAAAAAGCTTAATATTTATTTATTTACTTTATTAAACATTTCTTTTAATGTAAGTTGTTTAAGTTGCTTCATTTTATGTGATAATACTTTCTCTTTAATTCTATAAACAGACATAATTTCTTGTTCAGTTACAAAGTTCCGCTGTTCAAGTCCCGTAATTGCTGTGCCGAGAATACCGACTAACTTGTCAATTGAAATTTTTTCCTTTTCACTAACCTCTCTGTCACTTTTTTCATGTCTTTATCCATTTTTTGCAGCAATTCCACTTTTTGTTTGATGAACATCGAAACATACTTTTGTTTTGTAGATCATTTGGGAGCTCTAGCATCGGAAATTCTATTTGACATAATCGAAAGTTTACTTTTATAAAATTGCTTTTACAGTCTGCAAAAAATAATAATCCGGATCCAATTCGAAGATTAAGGAACAACGCAATCATCAACATTAACTGAAATAGATAATTAGATAATTTTAGCTTATACCGTCCGTTATACATTAAACGTGCACGCGAAAACGTATTCTGCGCTTGCGCACATGCATATGCGCTGTAGTAAAGGTCTTACGCGCACGCGTAAATGCCTACGCGCATGTGTCAACGTGGCGCATGCGCAGAAAGTTTTTAGCTTTGAGGTCCGGATTATAGATCATTCCAGATTATGGGTGTCCGAATTAACAACTTTTAACTGTAATACTTATTTTGGAAAATGAAATGTGTTTGTTTCAGACAGAGTTAGGTAAGAAAAATAAACTTATCAATATCAATACAGGAGAAATGAAATTTTCAAAGTCTCATTTCTAGATATTTAAGTGCATCTTCCATTGAAACAATGAAAAATGAGATGAATATTACTATTATACATATTTTAGGATAAATGCTTTTTACTTTTTTCATAAACTATTTGGATAAAGTGCAGAATCGCCCACTTATATGGCGTGTATTGAAGTGTACATGGACAAAGTCAAAAGAGTGCGCAATGCAAAGTTTGTGCAATTCTCTAATGCTTTTTCAAGTGAAAATAGGCTGATGTGTACATGGATAAAGTCAAGGGAATGCACAATGCGAAGTTTGTGCCATTCTCCAATTTTTTTAAGTGAATAGTAGTATATCACAAAATTCGGTATGTAATTGCACTTACAATTAAATTTTAATTTGAAAATCTTTAATTTCAATGTAATTGTAATTATAAATCGAGCAGTTACAGTGTATTTACAATTTATACAATTACGATGTCCTAGTGTAATTATAAATTGGGCAACTGCAGTGTATTTACAGTTTATTCATTTATGATGTAATTGATTAAATTTCAGTGTAAACGTATTACAGTCAAAAGTCTTTAATCCGGACGTCCATAATCCGGAATGATCTATAATCCAGACCTCAAAGCTATAAATTTTCTGCGCATGAGTAAACGCACCTTTACGCATGCGCATAATAAGTTTATGCATACGCGTTTAATGTATAACGGACGGTAAAAGCTAAGCTAATGTTATCTAATTATCTATTTCAGTTAATGTTTTAGATTACGTTGCTCCTTAATCTTTTAACTGGATCTGGCTTATTTTTTGCAGATTGTTAGAGTAATTTTATAAAAGTAAGCTCGAACTTTCGATTATGTCAAAAAGAATTTCAGATTCTCGAGCTGCGAAAAGATCTACAAAGTGAAAGCATGTTTCGATGTCCATCAAACAAAATGTGGATAAAGGCATATCCTTTGTTCCTCTAACCATTCCAAAATCTGTTTATCAATTTCACACTGCTCTGCAGGGGGAAGACGTTGCAGCGCGAAATGAACTGGAAGTTGATCTGTCAGCACTATCTTTATCTTCAGGGTAGAAGTTTTTTTTTTATTCGGCTTATAATTCCTTACTAAATGTAGTATTTCATTTCGATGTACTCCGTCTTTCATATGATTTAAATAAAATTCTTCATCATTATAAATATCGCGAATACACATCGAATAGTTTTCTGGTTGCAATTTTCTAATTTCGACTATGCGTAATGTATGCTTTACGTATGCGCGCGTTGAAAGAAATGTTTAATAAAGTAAACAAATAAATATTAAGGTTTTTTTTTGTAAATTTTGATATCCTTTAGATCATAATTGCTATTAATTTCATAAATTACGCTCATTTAATAAACATAATTGTAATTGCACAATTTATAATTACAGCTAGAATAAGATCACAGCTGCAGTTCTGACTATACTGTTTAAGTACATTAACTAGAATAACAATGTAAAGTGCAGAATCGCCCACTTATATGGCGCATATCAATGTGTACATAGACAAAGTCAAGGGAGTGCACGATGCCAAGTTTGTGCAATTCTCCGATTTTTTTGTGAAATTAGGTTGATGTGTGTACATGGATACCAAGTTTGTGCAATTCTTTGACTTGTTATTATCAAGCTGAAGCAGAATCGCACACTTACATGGAACGCATCGATGTGTACATGGACAAAGAGTGTATGCAATGCCAAGTTTGTGCATTTCTCTGATATTTTTAAGTGAAAATAGGTCGAAGTGTACATGGATACCAAGTTTGTGCAATTATTTGACTTGTTATTTTGAAGTTGTCGATTTTGAGAAACACGCGAAGCAGTGGGCGATTCTGCACTTTCCCCAACTTGTTTTACGGTGTAAGTGTCATTAACTAACAAAGTTGAAAATTTAAAAACTAAATATTTTGCTAACAGGTGCAAGGTAGCGCCTAAATTTGATGCAACGAGGTGGAACGCAAATCCACATTCACAAATTTTAAGTAGAGCATGTAATCTGGCATAATTTGCCACAAATGAGCTAAGTGATTATTTTTTTTAAGTGAGTCAAGAGAATCTGTGAAGATTTAATATTGCAGTTTTTATTTTAGAGAGGGCTGAATGTAAAGAATCTTTAAGAATCAGATTATATGGGCCTTTTTTAAAAAGTTTTAGTGACACTATAGGTGTAATTGTTTTTATCCATGATTACTCTGGCCACCTTTGTCAGCCATTCAAATGATGTCTTGGTTAGAATGAATTTAACTTAGTGTAGCTTTTTATCTTGTGTTTAGATTAAGGTTCAAAAGTTTACTGTAAAATTTCACATTATGGGCGATAAGATGCTAAATCATTTTTTTCTGATGATGCTTGATAATTTCTTTTCAATCATTTCTGTCACTTCTATCTGATCTGAGGTTAATGAAATTTCAGATGTAGTAATATACTCTGTATTTCATAAGATTTCAATAATATTTTTATTATATAATGTCATTTACACATTTTATGCAGAAGAATTTTCACAAATCACACTAAATAGTAAAAAAATAACACCACATTAATTTATCATAACTGGATACAAATGTCATTTAGATTAAATTTTTATTATTCTACAATCATCACGCCTATATGAATAACATATTAACAGCAACATATAATCTCTTAAGCAGATTTTTCTACATGCTTATCACTTAAAACAGTAATACATAGATAAACTTACACATTCATTTACATTACGATATTTACAAATAATTTTAAAATTAACAACTGTATTCATAATATATGTGTTGACTTAAATTATTGAAATTACTGATGTAGCATACTAACATATAGACGAAATATATTTCTGCGTTGCTAAGTAAATCTAATCTTCGATAACAGTACGACCTGTCGGTTAACGAAAAAAGAGGTCTATATCTTTCACAATGATTAAAAAAAAAGTACTGATAATGCAATAGCAATGGCGATGTCCTAGTTGCAAATAAATATTTTCTTTGATCAAACATAAATACCTTAAGAAAAACAAAGAAAATAAATTATAAATAAAGAACACGTCTAACTACTATTTCACATATTTAATTAAGAAATTAAGTAACACAGATAATTATATTTCAGTTAATCACTTTATTATTCACAGAGCAAACACTATTTATAACATTTCAAAAATATTATAAAACTTACTTTTACAAAATCGCAAAGACATGTTTAAGTAGAATTAAAAAGCGTAATTAAGGATTACAAAAAAATTTCTCGCTAGTGGGAAGGCTTTGTTCATTTTGACGTAAATATTTATTATAGAATTTTAGGAAATATACTTAGTCATTTTTGGCCTCGGAGAGCCGCAGCCAGCGCACACCCACCAATTGTGCTAAAAAGGAAACATAATCTTTGTTGAGCAGTTTTATGTCTTCTGCTCGAGGAAAAATATCTTGAAACCATGACAACACCTTGAATAGTGTCTAAAACTCCAAAAGCAATACTCCAATTATTTGTACCAATCATGTCTAGGACATGATAAAAATTAACCAAAAGTTTTTTTTTTTTTTTTTTTTTTTTTTTTTTTTTTTTTTTTTTTTTTTTTCATTAGAGAATTTTTATCTCAGCTCTGAGAAATTTTTTTTCTCCCAGCCGATTCGAGACTTTACCATTTTATTAAGAATGATTTCTCCCTGATCTATTATTTCAAAATTCCAAGTTTCGCTTCAGAACCATCTGTGCTGTTGAAGAAGTAACGTGATATATGTATTTTTTTAATGAGTTCTGTCAAGATTGAATTGTGCAGGATCGACCTTGCGAATTTCTTCTCTGTGTCTTTAAATAATAATGATACCGAACTGCTTTTTGTAGAGCGCAATGGAAAAAACCTTTTGTATGGTTAGGACAATTCATGTGTTCGATCCCATTGTATTTGAGAATCTCTTGCGTCGATCCCGAAATGCAATAAATGGATCTTTGCAACCATTTCTCTAAAAACCGCCGTTTCATTTCTCCTCGCACCCAAATCATGGAAAAGGGTTCCGTCAACATCGTTAACACCCATGGAAAATAACTGTACGGAATTTCTCCTTCGTACCACGACAAGCCGTGATAATAATCACTCGCCCACACAGCGGTTCGTTTTTCTTTCTCGGTGAGCATTTGCCATGGAAACGGGGGTTTAAAAACAAATACCCCTCGAGAAGTACCGTCCGTCCAATGTGACGTAAGCCAATTCTTTCACAATAAAGGCTCCTTGAGAATCGTAGAAACCTTCAAAGTCGAGCACGAGTTCCATGTTTTTTATTTCTTTTTCTTTCCAAGGTGACCTTTATTATTATTATGATGGATGTGTATTGAGATACGCACGATATTATTCAAAAACAAATATATATACGAATGTGACCTTTCCCAGAATTCATACGACCTGTCACGTGCAACCTTCTCTCTCTATATAAAAGAGGAGACGGCGAGAGAACGCTATCCATTTTTTCCTTCAGGACACACAGCGAGAGAGAGAGAGAATTTTGTTTTCTTTTTTTCCTCAATTGAAGAAGATGGACATTTTGAGTGCCAAACCTCTCAAAGATTCCTACATTGTTCTGGACATGGAATACTTTCACTGTTATGATCCAAAGACGGGAGATATATGTTTCATCTTGAAAGAACTGGGCTACATCACTTGCGATTGCGATTTAACCTTATGCGGATCCATGATTTTTCTCCCTCCTGTCCA